CGAAGATGTGCCCTCCATATAAGGAAAGGAAGCTCTTTGGAATCAACCCTTCCGCCAGGCGGCGCGTGTGGAAGGGGGTGCACGTGTGTCACCTATTCTTTTCCTTCTTAAACGGACTCTTGAGATAGTTACGAGTTTATTATCCCCGTCTTGTAGACATGCAAACAGCCCTGTGCTCTGGTGGAAAGACGGACTCTTGGTCAGGTGCTCTTTGACTTAATCAGAGCACAGGGGAGCCAGTTTTTTAGGGGGGAGGTCTCCATGACCTTGCCTTCAAAAATTAAAACCTCAGTGGGCTGATTGTTGATCAGTGTATTATTCATCTGATATTGATCACACTTCTAAAAATGATGACTGCTAAATTGCCTTATTTAGTTAATATTATTATTAATAGTGTGAATGATCCTTTCCTGCCCGGGAAGAAATTCCCCTCATATCTACATTCCGAGCTCTCCTTTAAACCCCTTGCAGACCCGCAGCAACTATCTTGGACTACCTCTCCCAAGATGCAACGGGAAACGGGCAGCACTCCCCCGTAAACTGACGGCAAATCTCACCAATCCGATGCCACAACCCCCATTCAGCGACCTATTGACTCCCGGTAAAGGCGGGACTTCCAGTTGCTAGGTTAGTACCATCTCCGGAAGTGGCTGTTGGCCACTGCAGGGCAACACCCCGGCGTCCCTGGAAGCGGGGAGCCGGGGTGGTGCTGGGGACGCTGCGCGCCGCCGGGAGCCTTCGCCCGGAGCCTCCTTGGGGGGAGGACAGGTGAGGCCCTCCCCGAGGGAGCGGTGGGGTGGTGGAGGGGGGAGGGAAGGGGGAGAGCTGAGGCACCCTCGTGCGCTGGGAGCGGGACGCGCAGTGTGGGCGGGAGCTGCAGGGAGAAGTGAGACCGGAGCGGCCGGACCCGTGCGCCCCGTCCAGCATCTCCCTGAGTGGCGGGCGGGCCCGGTGGGTGCAGGCGGGGAGGGAGCGGCGAGCCCGAGCGAGCGAGAGCGGGCGCGAGGCGGCGCGGGGCAGCCTCCGGGGCCCTCGTTTGTTCGCCCCTGCGCGCGGGTGCAAGGCCTTGCGAGCCCTCTTGGATGCCTCTCCTGTGGGCAGCCTCCCTCATGGCCCCATCCAGGGCGGGCCCGACCTTGTGGGATCTCTTGGCCAGCAGGGCAAGTTAGAAAGTTTTTTGGTTTTGTTTTTACCGCCCTTTGCGTGCATCTAAAAAATCTACCTTCTCCGTCTGGAACCGCCCTCCTCACGTGACCCCCGCCGCTCCTCACGCCCGGTTCTCCCACCTGGCTGCCTCTGCAGCCCGTCCTGGGTACTCCTCACACTGCCATCTCTGGGCCATTTCACCCAGAAGTTCAGGTACCACCTGCTGAACGGCGACTCCCCATCTACCGCTCCAGCCAGACCTTTCCTGAGCCCAGACCTGCTTCCTGACCGTCTCCAACCGCACCCCTCCCCAGCCTTCCTGGTCCCCGGACCCGTTCCTCCTGTTGTGGTTCCTGTCTCAGTGAAAGGCTTCATTCAGATGTCCAAGTCTGCACGTGGAATTCATTCATCTAATATCCACGGCTGACATTTGTTGGGCATTTCCTGAATTCTAGGGAGTATGCTAGGTGGGGCTATTGGGCAAGGCATAGAACTGAAAGGATCAACACTGGACTGGAGTAAGTGCCCCGGCTTCCTCCTTCCTCTGTCCGCTCGCTGCGGACACCAAGTTCTGCTGTTCCGCCTCCTGACATCCCTAGGATCTGGCCCTTTCCCAGCCGCTGGTCTAGTTCATAAGTCCTTGCCTGCAGCCATGATAACTTCCTCAGGAGTCCCTCTGGCTCTGTTCTTACCCTCCTCCAATAGTTCCTACACAACTGTCACAGTCTTTCTAAGCTACAGATCTCATCATGCCAGTCTCTGTGAAATCCTGTGATGGATGCAGTCTCAATTCTCCCGAACCCTTTATAATGCGCGCTTTGCCTTGCGTTGCAGATCTGTCTCCTGCGGCTCTTCCCATTGTCCCTTGCACTCTGGTCCTGTTGGAGTGGCTGAGAGCTTAGGCTTTGGAATAAGATAGGTGTGGGTTTGTGCATGTTCTGTGGTGCCATTTACTCACTGCAAATCCTTGGGCAAGTTTGTTTTCTCTTTAAAAGCCTTGCTGAGCCTCTGTTTCCTTATTTGAGAAATGGGTATAATTGTACCTCATTGAGAGGATGAGGTGAGGTAATAATGTACATACAACATTAGTACAGTTCTCAGAACATAGGAATTGTTCAGGGAATAGAAGCTTCTGTTCTCGTAATTCTGTGCACCTACCATCCTCTCTCCTGCCTCTTGGCCTGTGTGCATGCTGTTTCTTCTGCCGTAAATTCCTTACTGCTTTATTCTGATAAGTGTCTGCCTATTCTTAAAGAACCATCTCAGTGATTCTCTACCCTGTAATACTTTCCCTAGTCTTTAATCTTATGTTAGTTGCCCTTTGTGTCCTGTTACATTTTGTTATTTCCCATACTGTGCTTAACACATTATATAATCATGTGTTTATTATATATTTAGTTTCACACCCAGACTAAGCTAGAGTTCAGGACCATGTGCAGGTTTGCAGCCCTAATAGCCAGTGCCTGACCTGTAGATATTGTTATCCCCATTTTATGGATGAAGACACTGAGGCGACCTGCCCAGCTGGTATATGGCAGAACTGGGATCCAAAGCCAAGAATATTCTAAATTCTGAGCTCATTACCACTAGATGAACAACCCTCATGTCTTTGACCTTCTCCCCAAAGCTTTCTCCAGTTTATTTTTTCTGTGGTGAACTTATAATTGGTCAAGGAGGGTGGAAGAAATAAATACACAGGGAACCCTAATTATGCATATGTGTGTGTGTGTGTGTGCTGTGAGTGTGCAGGTGAAACCTTTTTGTCCGAGCTGACGAATGAGTGTTCGTGGGAAGGTGCCCGCAATGTTGTGGGTTGGGAAACAGTGTCCTGAGTGGGACTGGGCTTGCTCAGCTTGGGGTGGAGAAGCTTCGGGTGCTCTCACTGGTCCAGAGGGTAGCATGAGGCAAATGGGAGGAAGTTTCTTAGAAACTGACTTCTGGCTTAACATGAGGAGGATCTTCTCATAGCCAAGAATTACCTAACAGTGGAACTGGCAATAGCATCAGCAGTTCTGCTGAGTTTGTGTAACATGCGCTGTGTGTCAGAGCTCTGCGACGCACCTTGCGAGTATTATGTTGTTTCACCCTCTAACACCCCTTTGCTGTCGATTTTCATGATTGAGTTACACACATGAGGTTATTGAGGCTCAGAGAGGTAACACTGGTGTAAGATCACACAGCTGGTAAGCGAGCCGGGCTTTAAATCCAGGTGCTTCTGGCCCCAGCGCCGGTGCCTTCACCGCTATGCTGTCACTTAGAGCACAGGGAGGCGACATTTGACCTGGGAAGGGCAGCTGGACCACAGTTCTTAGGGGCTTTTCTGGATTGTAGAGATTCCTTGGTTCTGTTAGCAGTTTATAGTAGTGACCAAGTGCGTGGTTTACATCGCTTATTTTAGGAGTGGAAAATGCAGAGGAAGGAGGAGGCGTGGCCCTCAGAAGTTCGTGGTTTAACAGGAGAGGTGGAACACATTCCCCCGAAGAAAGTAATACTGAGAGAAATGCGCTTCTGAACACGTGAAAACTCAGTGCTGACGTGGTTAGGAGTTGCCAGGAGAGGTTGAGGTTAGTTAGCCAGGGAGGACTTTCTGGAGGAGGTGTTCGAGACACTTCTGTTTTGCTGGCTTTCTGTGGGACTGGCAGGTGGAGGATGAGCACAGTTGGGTGGCTCCTTCCTCATAGCCCTGTGGCTCATAGTGGGTCTCAGGCCTGGTGGCAGGTAGATCTCTTTGGGTTTCATCAGATTTGTTGGTAAGCGCTGCGTGGAGTATATACGATGTTGACGATTCTGAAGCCACGTCTAGGTGCCACGGTTGACAAGTGTTGTCCCTCCCGGCCTTAGGCTTGGAGGGAAATGTTAGGACACGTGCCATGTGCTTGCCATGGCAGAGCTCAGGGTTGCTTCCTTAGACATCTCATCTTCTGTTACCACTGTGGCCTGGCTTATCACCATCTCTCACTTAGACTAACTGGACTGCTTTCCTACCTAAGCTCTCTGGTAGGCCTTAAACAAATAGGATTTCTCTCTCCACTGCTTTCCTCAGCCCTACAGCTCCTGCCCTTTCAGTCCTGTCCCTGCCCACATATTTTCTGAAGCCGGGCAATGCAAGGAAAGAAGATAGACCATAGCCCACCCATATTTTAAATTCTTTCTGGCAGAAGGTTTGACATTGGAGTGATCTGTGAATTCAGATTTTCCTATTTTAAATAGTTAGGCATAGATAATTATACATATAGTTAATTAGGCATTGAACCACAAGGGCATTTACCTGCCCCTTGCTTTCTGGAGATGGGATGTGTCTATGGATAGGTAACATTTCTCAAATTCTCTGAGATGGTTGATACAGCGCCTTGTATTGATCATTGCCTGTTGGATTGAGTAATGTCCAGCTTGATGTTCAGGCTGCTGTCCATTCCTTTCTCCCCAGGGATCTCTCCCTTTCTATTTCCTTCTCCTTAACCCAGAGGATTAAGGATTCTGGTGGCTGCTTAAGCCAGCAGGCAGTGGGCCACATCTCTGACTGGTGCCTGGTACTTTTCTGCTCTGTTTTTTAGAGTTGCAGACTTATTCATCTCTGAATGTGCGTGTAGAGGCGTGAGCATTGTGTCTGCCGGATGTTATAGTTTCTTAGAGTAGGGGGCAGATTCCCACATGGCTTCTGTACTGCAGAGAAGAATGCTTCTTCCGTTAGCCTTTCTTCCTGAGGCATGAAGTCACCACTTGGAGGCGTCATGGTGGGAGAGGTGGCAGAGCATGGCTCTCTGGGGTCCAGGGGACTGACCAAGGGGATCGTCCCTGTGAATTCCTAAGGCAAGATGCCACCCTTGCCCATCTGTCAGCTGTCAGGGTGCAGAGAGGGCCTCTCTAGGGATCCTGGAGCAGATTAGAGTCACCAGATCTGGCTGTTTCAGGCACTCATTACAGGTCACATCTCCATCTTTTCCTTGATGACAAGGTCTTTCTGCTCACTCCCCCAGCTGGCAGAGGGCTGTGTGTGTCATGCTCGCTGCTCCAGGTGGGGCAGGGACGGCTCTTGAAGGGGTGGCTGCACCTGAGGTCTGGACCTGCTCCTCCAGGCTCCTGTTCATCACACTGGTGTGGCTGAGGCTTCCTCGGTTGGGACAGTCTCTTACAGGGTGACTGGTCTCTGCTTCACTGGGCTTTGTGTAGAAGCTGCCACAGGGGCGGTTGGTGTGATCTCGCTGCTCCAGGTGGGGCAGGGACGGCTCTTGAAGGGGTGGCTGCACCTGAGGTCTGGACCTGCTCCTCCAGGCTCCTGTTCATCACACTGGTGTGGCTGAGGCTTCCTCGGTTGGGACAGTCTCTTACAGGGTGACTGGTCTCTGCTTCACTGGGCTTTGTGTAGAAGCTGCCACAGGGGCGGTTGGTGTGATCTGGGCATCCTCAGGTTGTTGCAGGCATAGCGTTGGGAAGGGAGAACTGCACCCACCTGTCAGTTGAAGAATTTGGCACAGCCCCATCCCTAGAGCTAGAGATGCTGGATTCGGGTTGACTCCCCCGACCCCCACCTCTGGCTGCATCCTGGTCCTATAAACATCCCAATGTTCTTTGTATCTGTCCCTTCTGCCCTAGTTTAAGCCCTCATCTTCTTTCACCTGGAGAGCAGCCTCCCATGTCTCCCGTCCAGCCACGCCACTCTGCCAGAGTTCTATCTTAAAAAAGGCCACCCTGTGTCACTTCCCTTCACCAAAGTCTTTGTGACTCCCCTTTGCTACAGGGCACAGTTGAGACTCTGTAGCATGGTCTGCAAGACTCTCTGTGATCAGATCTGGACCTGGCTTTGCACCCCAGCCCTCACACTGCTCCCTGGCATTCCAGGACACTGGGGCTGTGTGTGACGTTCCCTTCGCCTCGACTACCCCTCTCACTGCCAGAACTATCAGCCTTTGGTACCCACGGTTGTGACAAAGCCTGCCGCCAGCCCTTCAGGGGGAGGGTATTCCTTCTGTCCTGGTACTCCCAGAGCAGGGGTTTGTCTTCCCTTCTGCCTTCTGCTGCTGTGGGAGTTGTGCATGCTACCGCAGATAGGCATTACTGAATGTAAACGGGACGTGCAAACATGGATAGCGTTGAACATCTGACACCTCTGGGCTCTGTTGGTGTGTGGGGCTGCCACATTTCATTTTGGTGTCTCACTAGGGCTTTCTTGCTGGGCTCCTAATTGTTTCTTCAATGGGGGTGGGGATGCGAAGTCAAACTCTTGAGAGAGCCAGGTTTCCAGATCTTCTGTGGTCCCCCAAGTGCTCAGCAGCCTTTGGGTGTGTGTCTTAGGCTGCAGAGCCTGTAAGGCCCGAGTTCCGGGCTGTTGGTCCCACTCACTACTCCCGGGTGCTCCGTGGCCCAGCTCCAGCTTTTTCCCTTGCACGCTGGGCCACTGATTCTCTCTTTGGGTGCATTGGGGGGGTCTCTGGTATCTAGGCGTTTGAGCCCAGACTGATCATGGCTGGAAGACCCGTCTGTATAGGAGACCAGCTGGTTCTGGAGGAAGATTACGATGAGACCTACATCCCCAGCGAGCAAGGTAAGAGGCCTTGGGTGTACTGTCATAGTGCTCGGAGGGCAAGAGTTTCCTCTGATGTTCTTCCAGCGAGCAGTAGGGCACACGCGCAGGGCTGCTTAGCATATGTGGGTTAGATCAGAGGTTGGTTGCATTATAGCCCATGGGCCTAACCTGGTCTGTTGCTTGTTTTTTTTGAGAGGGCATCTCTCATATTTATTGATCAAATGGTTGTTAACAACAATAAAATTTTGTATAGGGGAGTCAATGCGCAATCATTAATCAACCCCAAGCCTAATTCTCAACAGTCTCCAATCTTCTGAAGCATAACGAACAAGTTCTTACATGGTGAACAAGTTCTTACATAGTGAATAAGTTCTTACATGGTGAACAGTGCAAGGGCAGTCATATCACAGAAACTCTCGGTTTTGATCACGCATCATGAACTATAAACAATCAAGTCAGATATGATTATTCATTTGATTTTTATACTTGATTTATATTGTTGCTTGTTTTTATAAATAAAATTTTATTAGAAAACAGCCATGCTTATTTGTCTATGGCTGCTTGCATGCTGCACAGGCGGGGCTGAGTAGTTGTGACAGAAACTACGCGACCCACGAAGCCTAAGATATTTACTGTCTGGCACCTTAACAAAAGTTTTCTGACCTCGGGTGAGGTTAGTGATTAATTTTAAATGAAAACAGAGTAGGGGATATCATGAAATTCAGTCTAGGGGAAACACAATTTCTTAACAAGCCAAAGTAGCATTTTTTTAAACAACAGTAGTAACATTATTAACAACAATAATAACAGTTTATTGAGGGCTACCCTGTGCTAGTCTCTCCCTGATTATCAGTAGCTTCCCAAATCCCGCCTGCTTAAGCTCTTGCCCTTCTCCAGTCTGTGCTCCACTTAGCACCAGGGTGTTCTTACAGGTAAAGCAGATCCCATCAGGGCTCTGCTTTCAATGAGGTTCCTCTCTGCTGGGCAGAACACCCTCAAGGGGGTGTGTAGGGCCCTGCACTACTCAGCCCTGCCACCCGGCCAGGCTCACAGGGGCAGTTCTTGCCCTTGCTCACTCTGCCAGTCACGTGGCCTTTCTGACAGTCTCCAGATGGGCCGGGCTGCTTCTGCCACAGGTCCTTTGCACTTGCTCTTCTGCCTGAGTGCTCTGTCCTCAGTGTTCTGTGCAGCTGGCTGCTTTGTTTCCTCTGGATTTCAGCTGTGTCACCATTCTGAGAGGTTTTCCCAGACCCTCTAAAAGAGCACCTCCTCCAACCTGATGTTCTCTGTCTCATACCCCATTTGCTTCCTTCATTATATTTAAAATCTCTAACTCTTTGCATATTTATCTGTTTACTTCTTTACTGAGTGTTTCTTCTACAGAAATGTAAGCTCCGTGAGGGCAGAGACCATTTCTCTCTTATTCATGGCACATGCTGACTGGCACATAGGAGGCACTCAAAAAATATTTGCCAAATCAATGAATACATTAGTCCCTGGCTGACCAAATTCCAGGTGGTGCTTTGAAAAAGTGCTTTCCTTTCCCGGTCCCCAGGTGTGTCAGCCTCTGAATTCTACCCTGAGATGACCCTTACTGGTGATGCCTTTCTGGCCTGGGTTATTGTCAGCTCAAGCACTGACGGCCCTTGGGTATTCGTTTCATCATAACTGGGGGCTCTGGTGACATAGTCCAGTGGTTACCTCACCTATCTTTTTCTTCTAGGTGAGGTAGCTCTTAACTCAGTACCTGTATCTCTCCTGCCCCTCCAGATCTCTGGCAAAAGAGGTTTTCTAAATGCTTGATTTCAGAAGAGTACAACAAAAGTATTAGAGTCCACAATATATAGCCAAATTGTAAAAGAAACAACTCCCCTCATGGAAGAGAGGGGTCAGTGTGTGGGGAAGAAGGCTGTTGGAGTGCTGTGCCGTGTGCCCGGCCCCTGGCCAGAAGAGTAGCTCGCTCTCTGCTTCCAGGGCTCCCAGCACCTGCTTTCCCTACAGCACGCAGCACACAGCACGCAGCACACAGTCCCTGCTCTATTCGCCGGTAGCTAAGGCCCCCCAAGGGCGTGGCCACCTGCAGCAGTTCAGTACGCGCTCATTGACTGACAGGTGAGCACTTCTGTGCCAGGATTTTGCAGGTCTCTAGGGAGTGCGTGCCCTGGGAGGCTGCCCCCATTTAGGGTGCTTCTGCTGTGGCTGTCGGGATTCTTCTGAGGCCCCTGCTGCACTGAAGTCTTGGTCTGATTTTTTACCTCTGTTATACTTGGCTTAAGATTATATTCTTGCAGACTGGCAATAATGTGCCTGGATTCAGATGTACCATTTGTCAACTGTAATTTAAGAGAACAAAATTATATGTGTTTATTATTTATATTTAGAGAAATAATTCCTGCTCACTGAAGAAAATTTGAAAAGTAAAGGCAGAATAGAAAAAAAGATTCTCTAGAGAAGACTCTTTTTTTCCTTTACTCCCACACACTTAGTACTTAGTACTGCTGACCCCAGATATGTAGTGTTTTCTCCTAAACCAGCCAATTTTCTGACCCCAGCTGGGTGTCCTACAACTCATTTCAGTTCTGATGCTATCTGCCTGGAAGAAGGTTTTGGTCCCAAAGACTGCCCCGTTTCAGACACCAGTCCCAACTCTCAGTTTGTCTCCGGTACTTCTGACCGACCAGCTCTACACTGGAGTTTCCACGATTCCCCCTCAGATTCAGTGGTTTGCTAGAACAGGTCCCAGAACTTAGGCAAACACTTCTGTTTGCTGGCTTACTATAGAATAAAAGGTATGACAAAGGACAGAGATGAGCCAGAGGAAGACATACGGAGGCTGAGGCCCGAGAGGGTCCCACGTGCAGGAGCTTCTGTTCCTGTGGAGCTGGGCTGCACGCCCCCCTGGCCCGTGGGTGCGGGCGCCACCCTGGAAGCGCTCCGAGCCCCGTAGTTTAGGGATTTTTATGGCGGCTTCCTCACGTAAGCGTGAGTGACCGTTAACTCCTTTTCCTGCTCCCCTCCCCTCCTTAGATGAGGGGGGTGAGGTTGAAAGTTCTAAGCCTCCAGTCATGGCTTGGTCTTTCTTCTGACCGGCCCCCAGCCAAGAGGCAGCCAGGAGCCCACCCTGAGTCACCTCATTGGAACAAAAGGTGCTCCTATTACTCAGGGAATTACAAGGGTTTTAGGAGCTCCCTGTCAGGAACTGGGTTCAAAGCCCAAAAAATAACAGGAACTGGTGGCAGAGACCAGTATATATATTTATCTTATTATTTCACAAGGTTGATTGTGATTTTTTTTCTTCTTTCCATCCACTGCCCCCTCACCCACCCCACCTCTCTTACTTCCCCACCCTCCTGCCTGTCCTTGCAGAAATTCTTGAATTTGCCCGAGAGATTGGCATTGATCCCATCAAGGAACCGGAGCTGATGTGGCTGGCCCGGGAGGGCATTGTGGCCCCACTGCCTGTGGAGTGGAAGCCGTGGTAAGTCAGCGTGGATGCGGCCCACTGACTTGGCCTGTTGGAGGCGGAAGGGGCGGATCCAGGACATCAGCTTCAACCAGCCACCTTTTGAAGCCTGTCCTGTTTGGAGCACCCTGAGGATGTGTCTTTATTCCTTGCAGGCTGACACTGAGAGTGACGATACTGAGACCCCCTCAGTGTGTTCAGAAGGGATGCTAGTGTGGAAGAGGTTTGTCGGGAGGCTGCATAGACCAGCCGGGGTTTGGCCTCCCATGGCAGCCCATCCTGAATTTGAGTAATCTGGTCTTGAATAGGGTCACATTCGCAGAACTGTTCACCTTTGTGGTTTCAGTGTGAGCTCTCTGGACTGTGAGGAGCAGAGACTCCCTCGGGTTATCTCAGGGATACGGAGGTTGATGGTGAGGACACCAAACGGGGTCTCCCTCCTCCCAAGGACTGCATCCCCTCCCACTGCTGGGGGCTCGTTCTCATCACATGCACGGAGCACTCTCTCAAAGTTGTCTCCCTAAAGTCAGTGCCATAAGTGTACTTCTTCCTGTACCACGGGATTTCCTTGTTTGTCCCAAACTAGTTCCCAGAGGCCTCAGGGATCCCGTCTGTGCTGGTATCGGGCAGCTTGGTGTGCGAGGTGTAATTATGCTGCTCTCAGACGTACCATTTAGTGTGTTGGCCATACTTCAGAACAACTGGTGGTAGCCTGACTCATCTCCACCGAAGAATCCTAATCCTTTGACTGTCTTCTCCTCACATGGCAGGTCCCCTGTTTTTTTGACCTTTTTAGTTGCTTTTCCTTGGACCTCCTCCTCTTTCATGACATCTCGTAGTGAATCCATCCGTGCTGTGCACAGTGTTCTGGGTGCTGAGGACTCATGCTTGTGTTTGTCGGATGAGTTTGTGGGATAATGGTTTCTGTTTTGTTTCCAATATCCACCCTGATATCCACATTTGCCTTACCTGTCAATCTCTCTCTTCTTTTTTTTATATTTTTAAGTTTGTATATATCTGTGCTGTTTTGCTTTTGGATCTATTTTTTACTTAAAAAACCACACGACAAATATTCAGTATAGTAATACCTTAATGTACATATACTCAATAAGTAAATGACTGCAGTGGTACAAAAAATTAAATGATGGAAGGGTGGAAACGGTCATTGGTGGTGGGCTAGCTGTGGGCCAGCCTTCTGCCAGCCATTTCCACGTACCTGTTAGTGGTGGCTAACAGTCCCTCATCCTGTAAGGAGAGTGTGAACCATCTCTCACTTTTTAAAGTAATGTAAGTCATTAAAACTTATGTATACATGTCATCTTTTAGTCCCAGTCCCAAGTAATTAATTGGAGATTTCCTTCCAGGCTTTTAAGACACACACTTACACGCACACACATGGTTTTGTTTCTTAAACATAAGAGTTGTACTGTATGCATTGTTCTTCT